GGATATTGAAAAATCTCCATTCCCATCCCACTCGGGGGGGCCAGCCAGAGGTGGTATTTCTCCAAACTATTCAAAATTTCCACTACCGGTTCTCCGAACTGCTCAAAATTTCCGCTACTGGTTCTCCAGAACCTGTTAGAACCTGCTGGATTTCATCCCTGTATTAATCCTTAAACTCAAGAGTTCCTCAAGTTGTTAAATCTTCTCAGGCATTCTAGTTGTTTTTTTCTACTCCTTTTCCAGATTCACACGATATATATGAATATGGACAGGCAGTCCTCAGCTTATAACCATTTGTTTAATACTGTTCAAAGTTATAACGGCAGTGAAAAAAGTGACTTATAACCATTTTTCACACTGACGACAGTTGCAGCATGCCAGCAGTTCCATGATCAAAATTCAGAAGCTTGACAACTGGTTCATAGTTATGACAGGTTGCGGTGTCCCAGGGTCATAAGATCATCTTTTGCGACCTTCTGACAAACAGAGCCAGATTCACTTAACAACCATGTGACTAATTATTGATAACTGCAATGATTCACTTAATAATTGTGGCAAGAAAGGCCATACGGCAAAACTCACTGAACAGCTTGTTTCGCATAGCAACGAATAGTTTGGGCTCAGTTGCAGTCGTAAATCGAGAACTACCAGCACTGCATTATGTATATGTAAATACTTCTTGAAAGCGTTCTCAATATGACACATTTCCATTCTAACCATCACTGGATTTCAAATGCAGAAGCCTTTGTACGGTTTTGTCATCCCAAAGTTAAATTCTTGGACGGTGTAGATTCAAACTCTGCTGCCGTTACAGAATCCAAGTTTCAACACAGTCTCTCAAAGAAGATTTATATGTTTTTAATGCTTTATTTAAATAAACCAATCCCTGGAGTATGTACAACTGTCTGGCTTTCATAAACAGCTTTGAATACTGGTGTCCGATTGAGATGGCCAAAACAGAGACTTCTCGTGTTTGAGAAAATTGAGATGGCCAAAACAGACTTCGGATGTTTGAGGAAATTGAGATGGCCAAAATAGAGACTTCTTGTACTTTCCAGCCAAAGAGAAAAATTATAGCCCTTTGGAGAACTGAATGCATCTCCACCACCAAGCATATTGACCCCCCCCAATCTACTTCTCTATTGAAGAAATATGTTCTAGGCCATATTAACCCCTGTTTTCCAAACAGTACATTGAACCTTTTTAATAGTGTAATTCCTGATTTTAATGTTTGTTCCATGTTGCTTTAAAATAGTTCTCCATGAAGAACACGTAAGAATTCAGCAATTGCCCACTCCCATAATTCAATGCACCCTGCCCCCATGCACGTGACCCCCCAGTGTGTCCCCCCCACTTTTAGCACGCGATAGCACAGTGGGCCCGGTAGGCCCATTTTTCACCCTCCCCAGGATCCAGAGGCTTTCTAGGAGGCTGGGGAGGGCGAAAACTGCCTTCCCCACCCCACCAGAGGCCCTCTGCAGGCCAGAAACAGCCCATTTCCCAATTTCCGGTGGGACCAGAAGGCCCAAAAATCAGCTGGCCAGCGCACACATGCACGCTGGAGCTGAGCTATGGCAGTGCTCACGTGCCCACTGATATAGCTCCATGTGCCACCTGTGGCACCCGTGCCATAGGTTCGCCATCACGGCTATATACAGTATAACCTGAGGTATCAGCTTGCTTAATGGCTGTAGAAAACGATAGGAAATTAAAATGTGGCTGAATGTTTTGGCTATGCAGATTTCTTAACACAACCACCAAAGGGTGATAGATGCAAAAGCAATTGGACTTTCCTGTTTTTCTTGATGTTTTGCTTCTGATCCAAGAAGTGGCTTTACTCCCAAGTCGACCCTGCTTTCTTAGTTGTTCTTGTCTTCTGGCAGCTCTGCGCATGTGCATACTGGGAACAGGCTCCAGCTGTTCCTCTGCCTCACTGCTGTCTAGCTCCCTCTCTGCCTCCGATGCACAGCCCTTGTCCAAGCTGTCCCCAGCCCCCAGGACTGGCCCATGTTCCTTCCCAACCTCATCACTGTCCAACTCTGCTGCCAGCTCCATTGGCCCCCGGTGGGCCACAACAATGTTGTGATGCTTTATAGGACCTAAGCAAATTTTCCACGTGCTTTTCGTAGTCATCTGCCTTGCTGTTCTCAAAGTGAAGATAAATTTATACACTTCCATGTGGTACCATTTTCATTGTTCTACTGTACTTTGTCAAGAAGTTACGAGGCATCATGATCGTTAGGCACCTTCCTCCCTTTTAGGCAACTATACTTGGCTGTGTATAAATCTTTATGGTGAAATATCTTGAAAACTTTAACCAACCAGCACCTTTATCACCTGTTTTTCTAATTCATCTAATCAAAATATGTAAAATGAACACATTTTATCTCGGAGGTCGATGATTTTCCAAAAAGTTGCCGAGCAGTATTCTCAGAAAGAGTACTAACAACCAGATGACTGAAAGGAATATACATCCTTCCATTCAGTCAGAACTGAAGAAGGGAAATGTCTTCTAGCAAAACATCCAGCTGCTTTTTGAAAGAAATCACTTTTGAAACAACCATGATCTGGACACAACAGAGAATCTCCATAAACATAAAGAATGGTAGAGTTCCACAATATCACATCACTCACAAAAGCTAATCGGTAAGATTCTAGTAGTTGTGAAGATGGATTATCGGTCAGAAGTGGGAATGTCAACATCTGCAAAATGATAGACAAAGCATCACGATCCAAAACCTGCCTTTTTGTAGCTAAAAATCACAACACTAGAAATGCTTTTCTTCTTGAAGTCTGGGGAAAGTGCGGGCCTGTGAATCTTCCCTATTTCCCAAGAGACACAACTGAATTTCCCAGTGAGAACCGACATGCGAAAAGTCTTCCTGTTTTTAAAAGCTTTCAATCATTTCTTTGGCATCAAAGAAGACAGTAAGAGCAACGAGATATAATGAATTTGTGCCCTCTGTTCCCTTGTAGACTTAGGGCAGAGCTTAATGCAAAGCTAGCCCTTAATGAAATTTCTTCGAAATGCAAAGTAATGACTTCTAATTTCCTCACTTAATCTAATGTTACAGCTACTCCATTAATGTCACCACCTATTAGATACTTAACAGCCAGCTTGTTTAGCTGCAATTTTATCGTATGGATGCATATTCTGACTCTTCCCTTTCCTGATTTGGATAATGTTCAGTAATGGCAGTGGGGAACAGCCGTAATTTAAATATCTGAAAAGCCTTCAAACCCTTAATCCCCTCTGGAAAATGAGAATGTTTAATGTCTTTTGAATTTAAAAAAAAACAAAAAAAACCTGAAACAAGCATAAAGTTCGTACGCCTAGCTTGTTTCTATGCTTAATTCTAGTTTAATCAGTGCTGACTCTGAATTACCATATTCCCGTTCTGTATATTTTATTGGCTATTATTTTTTTTTTAAAAAAAAAAACCAGCTCCTCCTGTAACATAATAAAGAACAATGCACCCACCAAGGTAATCATCTTTTCTCCATCAATCTGACAATCCACTTTGCACTTCTAATTTTGCTGTATCAGAATTCATGTTTCTGATGGGGTCAAGAGTGTACAGACGGTCTAACAGGCTGGGCGGCATAATTTACAGTTGTCATCCCATAATACCCCGTGCTAATGGAATCACACAAGAGGCACCATTCGCTTCCTACTCCGAACGGAGCAATGGCAAAGGGGAAGGCTTGCAATTCTGTGGCTCTCTTGGGGCAGATGTAACCGAACAGTCAATCACTGTCGTTACAATTGGAAAATATAGGCGGTTAGAAACTTAACTGATGCTTCCATCCACCAACACCTAGTTTTTGCATGGTATCACCCAAAAAGAGAGACACGTTTGCAAATACATATCTATGCATTCGGTTCCATACGTGCAATCTGTATTCAAACATATTATTATTATTTATTTAATTTATATTGCTGCCTATTCGCCCATGGCAACTCAAGGCGGCTTACAAAATATAAAACCACATTTAAAAACAGTAAAATAATAAAAATAATTTTAAAAAAATCAAATAAATTAATGTAATAAAATCACCCCCCAGCCCAGCGACAGCAGATCATATGAGCCATTTAATGGGTTTCATCCCACTCTGGGTTCCCCAGGCCCGCTAGGTCTTCAGCGTCTTTCGGAAGAGTATTAGAGTGGGGGCCGTTCTAATCTCTGGGGAGGATGATGTTCCAGAGAGAGGGAGCCACCATGGAGAAGGCCCTTCTTTTGGGTCCCACCAGGTGTATCTCCCTCAGGGATGGAACCCTCAGCATTCCCTGCCTCCCCGCTCTGATGGATCGGGTAGATGTGACCGGCAAGAGTCGGTCCCTCAGATAACCTGGATATACTTATCCCCTAGAGATATTTCCAATTCAGTCATATCAAGAGACTCTTATATTAATTGCCAATTTAAGGGTGATATTGCCCCTTCGTAGTCCTTGACTTACACCCATTCGTTTAGTGACTGTTCAAAGTTACAACAGCATTGGAAAAAGTGACTTTTGACCATTTTTCACACTTAAAGACAGTTACACCATCCACACGGTTATGTGATTAAAAATTCAGACCCCTGGCAACTGGCATGTACTAATTACAGTTGCAGTGTCCTGGTGTCACGTGATAACCTTTCTCTGACCTTCTCACAAGGAAGCCAATTCATTTAACAACCGTGTTAATAACTTAATAACTGCAGTGGTTAACAACTGTGGCAAGAAAAGTTGTAAAATGGGGCAAAACCCCCCTTAACAAATGTCTCGCTTAGCGATGGAAAATTTGGGCTCGATTGTGGTCATAAGTCAAGGACTACCTATGCTTGCCCCCTAGAGATATTTCCAAATTCAGTCGTATCAAGGGTCTCCTGTATTAACTCCCAATTAAAGGTGACAATGACACTTCCGTCATTATGCGGGATGGTCAGAAATCACAACTCTGGCTCTGACGAAGCACCCTTACATATACATTGCAGAGAGAGAAGAAGGATCCACCTACCCGTTTCTTCATCTATGTTAAAACGTCCAAGTCCACTGCCGTCACGGATGGAATACTGGATCTCGCCGTCTCTGCCGGTGTCATCATCCCTAGCATTGACTTGCAAAACACTTGTGCCGATGCGGGAGTTTTCCTTCACGGAGCCAATCACCACAAAGTCAGAAAAATAAGGCGTGTAGAGATTTTCATTCACATCCACCACTTCGATTTCCACAAAGGATACCGAGGATAAGGAAACGGGGCGCCCCTTATCCTTGGCTCGTACGGTCAAATTGTAGAACTGCTGCTTCTCGTAATCGAGTTCTTTGCTGAGCCGGATGGCCCCGCTGGATTTGTCTATTTCAAATCTCCCGTTGTAATCGTTCACCAAAGAGTAACGCACTTGTCCCCCGAGACCAAGATCCGGATCTTGGGTTTCAAGCCAAGCGATGACTGTACCAACTGGTAAATCTTCCAAGACTTTCACGCTATAGCTAGGTGGGATGAAAACCGGAGCACAATCATTGACATCATCCAAAAACACCTTTAAGGGAACGACAGAAAACTGCTGGTGTCCATTCTCTGCTCTGTCTCTTGCTTCTATCTTTAATGTAAAATTTGCCTTGGCTTCCCTATCCAAATGATCCCCCACATAAATGATCCCTGTGGAGCTATTGATTACAAATTGCCGTGTGTCTGTCAAGATAGAATAAACCACTTCTCCATTTACTCCCAGATCTCGGTCCCTGGCTTCCACCTGGATAATCTCCACACCGATACTTGTACTTTCCAAAATATTAACTGTGTAACTTTCCTGCAAAAATACAGGCTTGTTATCATTGGCATCTTCAACGGTGACAGTAAGTAATCTCCATGTGGCTTTCTGGGGGTTGCCCAAGTCATAAATAGTAATATTAAGAAGATACAGTTCTGTCTTTTCACGATCCAGCGCCATAAGGACCTTCAGCAGACCCGTCTCCATTTCAAGATTGAAACAGCTGTCGGTGTTACCGGATGATATGGTGTAGAGGACCTTCCCGTTAAATCCAGAATCAGCATCGTAGGCCTTGATTCGATGTATGGTAGCACCAACAGGGAGATCTTCTCTGACTGACAAATCTGAGGGAAAGGATTTATCAAAATGCGGGGCCTGCCTGTTCACAGAATAAAAATCAAGAAAGCCATCTTCAGAATTAAGTTTGACATTGGCTTTGGCCTTTTTCAGCAGCTTCTCTGCCAGCCTCTGAGCGACCCTGGTCTCTCTGCAGCTGAAGGTCTTGGAAGAAACCTTTCCGTGAACTACTGAAATGTTGACAAACATAGAGTCCGCAAAATATTCCCCGTCAGTTGCCGTGATCCGAAGTCCAAAATTACTAGCCTTGATGCCAGCACCAGCAAGAGACTTTTTAAGCTGTAGAACTCCCGAGTCTGGATTCAGGTAAAAAAATCCCAATTCGTTACCTGAAATAATTTTGTATTTCACCAGCTCCAGCTCATCAATATCTATAGCAGAGACAGCTGTGATATGCCCACCGACGGGAAAATCTGACGAGATGACTCCTTGACAAGCCACCTTCTCAAAGAGTGGCTTGTTGTCGTTCACGTTGCCTATGACGATGGTGACATTTACCTCACTTTCATGGCGGTAAGGGGAACCCCAATCCGAAGCCCTCACAATAAACCGGTAACTCTCTGGGGAAGACTCAAAATCCAGTTCTTCGGATGTGCTAATAACCCCAGTAAACTGGTTGATGGAAAAGGGGAGTGAATTTAAACTAGCGATGCTGTACGTGATGTAGCCATTTTCCCCACGATCTTTGTCAAAGGCAGAAATCAATAGAATATTAGTCCCCACAGGGACGCTTTCATTGATATAGGAGCTGTACGAAGGCTGGGTGAACTCTGGAATATGGTCATTGGCATCTTCAATTCTCACAGCCACAGGTGCTTTTAAGTCCCCTTCTTTATTTGTGACTTCCAAATCATACAATTCCTTGTCAACAATTTTTAAAGGAAGTGCTGTGGTAAGCAGCCCTGTTTTGGGATTTATCTTAAAATATTGTGCATCTTCGCTGAGGGTTAATTTGTATTCTTCTCCCTGGGTTTCTGGGGTTAATTTAACGATGGCAACAACTACTCCAGGAGGAGAGAATTCGCTGATAGCTACATCGTAACTTTCCTTTTCAAATTTGACCGGATTGTTCTCTTTCTTAGGGCTGGCAATATGGACCAGTTTCATAGCTGAGAACTTCTGAGGAGACCCCTTGTCTTTGGCTTGTAAAGTGAGATTGTAACCATAGGGGAAAGCGTCCCAATCAAGGGACTTCTTTTCTTTGATTTTGTACTCATTCAACCATCTCCCCTCCTTGACCAACTGAAAGTACTCCAAGGGATCTCCAGCAACAATAGAAAGGGATTCAATTTCACCATTGGAACCTTCATCTAGATCATCAACGTTAACTACAGCATACGTAGACTCCTTATCCAAAGGGAAGGGGACATGCGTCACTACATTAATAGTTGGGGCGTGCTCATTTATACGTTCAATATGAATGTAAAGTTTGGCGGTGCTGCTTACTCCATTGTTACCATATAGCTTCATCCCTCTGTCCACAGCCAGAACTTCCAAGTCATAGCGGTTCTTCTCGTCGTAGTTTAGCCTGCCACTTAAGGAGATAACTCCGCTGGTGGGATGGACTGAGAACAGATCAACTTTATTTTTAAAGTAGTAATAGAATTCGCCATTCGAACCAATATCAGCGTCCGTTGCGGTGACCTGCGCAATACTAGTCCTCAAAGGTGTGCTTTCAGGTATTGTTACAGAATAGGTAGTGGGTGAAAATAAAGGTCGTAAATCATTCATGTCCAAAACCTGTATGTTCACTTTTGTCCAAGCTTCCAAGTCTTCTCCCCGGACAGAACCTTTTATTACCAATAAATAATTGTCTTGGATTTCTCGATTCAGTATGGCAGAATTCCCCCCCTTTAGTTCTTATCCTAAGGAAACAAAAATCAGCTATTGCCACTTCCTCTGCTTTGAAGAAACCTTCATCATCGCCAGACACAATCCTGTACTTGATGTCCCAAGAGAAGTCAGCCATCGCGATGCCCATTCTGCTTTGGCTGTTCAAGTAAGTCCGTGCTGCTGAGTTTTCGTACACCGTGGTGTTGTAAATGGAATGTGTGAAGTGGAAGCCCAGTGGTAAACTCCCTTGAAGGCCATGACAGATGTTACCCAAAAGCTGAACAAGCAGGAAGACGAGGCCAGAAGCAGGGGCCAAAGGATATGACCAGTGGCCCATATTCTTCTCCATCACATCATTCTTTCATCCTTTAAAAATAAACAAAAAGATGACATTGATTAGCAAGAAACTATGGTTTGACCTATATATATATACATATAGACATGGAATCAGTCTGGCTTTTCAAATCATCCACCAAATTCTAATCTATATCCACCATGCTGAAAGTTACCCATCAGTCAGAAAGAAGTTTTACAATTCTCAAATTACAATTGTTTATAAACCATTCATATATATGAGTTAGGCAGCTATTTAAAAAATGGATGGATGGATGGATGGATGGGCAGACAAACAAAAGAATCGATGTGTTTTTATAGCCTCAGACCAGTAGTAAAAATACATGAGAATACCTGATAGGTGGACAAATACAACTGGTAAGCTATAATCAGTAACCTATTTTAGCATTTCACCAAGTTCTACAGCAGTATTAAAAAATTATGGATTGCCTTACAGAAGTCTGTAAGAATTTGACCAACCAATAGATTATGCACCAAATGCAACCTTTAAGCTCTCTGTTGTAAATAAAATTTCTATTAGGAACTTCAAGTTCACCTCAAGTTAAAATCCTCAGTGCAGCTTTCGGAGCCATGTGGCATCCCAGCTGAATAATTGAAATCTTACAAAGATCACACATCAGATGTGACCAACGAACACCGCTGAAAATATTTCCTTTTCCTTCCTTCCTTCCTTCCTTCCTTCCTTCCTTCCTTCCTTCCTTCCTTCCTTCCTTCCTTCCTTATAGCCACCCATCTCACTCATTGACTCTGAGTGGCTTACAATTCCTTTCAATTACAATGTCCTATAAATCTATTTGGTTTTTTATTTTTGTTTTTGTTTTTGCCATGGAACACACAAGTTTGTAACAATATGAATTGGGAAAACGAAATTTCACACTACGAATAAATTTCAAATGATTATCAAATTACTATTAACAGCACTGTGGTTGATCATCTGCTATAGGAACACCTTTCCTAGGGGAAAAGGTGAGCTCAAAACAGGGGAAGAAATAAATCAGGAACTAGCTAAACATTAGTATAACATTCCACAAGATAATCAAAATCTTGAAAACAACGTTTAGATTAAACACTGTTCTTGGATCGCCTTCTCCCTCCTTCTACCCTCCACCTCTGAATTCTTGGCTTGCAAACTTGTCAACTCGGATTCTTGGATGTAATGTGAGTCAGCTTTGTGTCTTCCTGCTTAGCTGGTAGGAAATTTAATGAGATTAGAGGTAGTAACCAATCATAAAAGGACTGAGTGAAAATGAACCAAAATCGCTCAGTAAATATGCCTCCCTTCAGAAACAAAGAACTCAAAGGAATGTGATGGTTTCAAGTGGAAGATTAAGAGTGTGATTACTTGTGTGTGGTTTGGACACACCTAAGAAGGAAAACTACACAGAACTGCAGTGATTGGCTTACAAAAGCAGGAGGGGGAAAAGAGGGGAGAAAGGAGATTTGTTTCGAGCAGTCGGATCAACTGAAAAATGGAACTAGTCAAGGTGACTTTTAATTACACGTAGTGATTCCCCGACAATAGCTACTACTAGCACTCCTGGAGAATTAAGTAAACCCTGCTGCCATTCACCTTGTAAATGCAAATTTCCTGAGCCCAAGACAAATACTTCATTACCATATTGATGAAATGTAGGATTTTCTGCATGTCTTGGCAGAGCGGTGGCATGCAACTGGACCAACCGTTACGAGAAATGCACAGAGACAAAAGAGGAAAGAAATCAAGAAGCTGGACACGCGAGAGTAGTAAACAAAAGCCAGTTTTCAGATGATGATATGGACCTTCCTGCCCAAAATCGAAAAATTGTCTCAATTAGTGCTTAATGGCTTGAGAAGCAACATGTATCAAAGAATCCCTCTGCTATTTTTTCTCTTTTTAAAATGTTTTTGTAACAGACCAAGAGTTTACCAAATCATCCACAGTGAAGTCTATAAATTTGTACGGTACAGGGGGGTTCATTTAGGGGGGTTCCGTTTGCCTGTCCGTTACATTGCAAATGATGTCACTTCTGGCGACTTATCTCACTTGTGTAGACCCCATCACGGTGCAAACGCCATAAATGATGTAATTTACAGCCATTGGCGTCATTTGCAAGCATGATGCATACCCAAGCAATGCAAATTGTCACAAAGGATGAATTTGCATTCTTTACTTAATGGCATAGTTACACGAATGACTCAAATCAATGCGTACTTCAAAAAAGATAACATAAATGTAACTGACTCATGCATATACTTTAAGATACAGGAGAACTACCTACAATTTTGGGAGGCTCTCCAGACATCAATCGGGTCCCATTGCATCTCTACTTCCCTAAACCAGGGCAAGTGAAATTAAGTTTTTCACTTCGTTGGACCAGTATTGGTTTCTGAATCGTTGAGTCAGAAGAAACGACCTCTTTTTCCTTCAGAGCATATCCCTTAATAAGGTTTTTCAACTTCCATGGGAAGTATGACCTTTCCGGGTTGGCAGGCTATAACAGAGTTCCCCAACCTTTCCGGGTTGGCGGTCTGGAGTGGGGGAGTGGGGGAGGAAAGAGGTGATGGTTTTGTGGGAGGGGCAGGTGTGCGCGAGCACCCGTTGCTCGTGCAACTAGGGTTGAGAGTGCCTACGACGCTCATGCAAGTTGGGTCGCGAATGCCCATGTGAGTGAAGCCGTGAGCGCTTGTGCAAGTGGAGCTGTGAGCCCACACGAGTAGAGCCCTGAGCACCCGCAATGCTTGTGTGAGGCCCTGAGCGCCCACAACCCTCATGTGAGTGGAGCCCCGAGTGCCTGCAACACTCGCAAGTGGAGCCTCGAGCACTCGTGACACTCGTGTGAGTAGTGCCACGAGGCTCTGCAACACGCAAGTGAAGCTGTGCGTGTGCACGTGCACCAGCCAGCCACACACGTGGCCTGGTTGCAAATAGGCCATGGACCAGTAGTGGGCAACAGCCCACAGGTTGGGGACCCCGGGCTAAAATACCAAAATCTCAGAAGCTGACAATATTTTCATACCCTTCTTCTTAAACAGATGAGAATTAAAGTGGAGCCACTTAAGTTTCTTTCTTATGTTCTCTTTTTTTCCTTCTTTAATTCATGTCTTCTCCAAATTCATATTTGTGATTTTGTCTATGTAGCAATGCCAACAGAGTGGGCAGTGCTGACTTTTTAGCTCGTTGTTTAATTCTGGGGTGTAGCAAAGTTAATAGAGAAAATGTAGAGGTGCCGCAAAATTATTTTAAGCCTCAATTTGCTTTAAAAGGGGGGGGGCATGTTAGCAGAAATGGCTGCTTTGCTGCCACCAAATTTTATTTATTTATTGAGAGGTAGAAGAATTTAGGAGACCAAATTGCAGTCCACAATTTGGAGAGAGTAACTGGTACTCAGGACAAGTCTTACTGGGCGAGACACTCCTAATTAAGTATAAAAGCTTATTCTTAGAAAAATAGTTTTTACCAACTCTTACTTGCAACAAGGCCACCAAATGAGAAGAGATGACTCATTGGAAAAGACCCTGAAGCTGGGAAAGGTTGAAGGCAAAAGGAGAAGGGGACGGGAGAGAATGAGATGGTTAGATAGGGTCATCGACGCTATGAACATGAGCTAACTCCGAGAGACAGCGGAGGATGTGGGGGTGGCATCTTGTGGTCCATAGCACCACAGGAGTCAGAGGTGACTTAGCAACCGAACAACAACAAAAACTTGCGACAAGATTCCTAAAGTATGTAGATATCCTCATGAGTTGGGGTGAATAGATTGAGCATCTGTCTTTGCAGAAAACCTTATTATTTCGCCATTAAGATTCCAAGGCATTCATTCTTCACTCATTAACATTCTCAAAGTGGCCTTTAACTTCTGAGACCAGGCTCTCACCATCAATAATTTAAAGCAGAACACCTGGGAACTTCATATTACTGTCCTACGAAGTTTAGCGAGAGAATAGAAAAATCTGTAGAATTTTAAATCCTGGCCCACTGTTAGAGCATTAAAAAAACTCAAAGGAAGATGAAAGCCCCACAGATTCGTTGATATTCTTAATTCCATATGTCTACGTGCTAATCTTATGAAACTTCCTAATACAGGTATAAGTCACCATTTAAAAGTATGCTTCCTTCCAATATAGATAGATAGATAGATAGATAGATAGATAGATAGATAGATAGATAGATAGATGGGGGAGGGAGGGAGGGAGGGAGGGAGGGAGAGAGAGAATATACATACATACTGTACATACATACATACACACACACATACCCAATAGAATCTCTGGTCACGAAAGCTTCTGACCACGACCAAATCAGGTTTTTTTGTAAGCGCCAAATTTCCTGTTGTTTGTTTATGAACAACAGTGACCCACATGTGGCCACTGCATTAATTTTGGTTAGATTCAGGTCACAACCACATTGGCTACAACCAAAGTGTGTGTGTGTGTGTGTGTGTGTGTGTGTGTGTGTGTGTGTGTGTGTAGAGAGAGGGGGGGGGGGGGGAGGGAGGGAGGGAGAGACTGTAGATATAGATATGCTACCTATTTGAAAAACGTATCTCAACAAATAGAGTATTGGTCAAGTATCATGTCTACCATGTTTGCCCGAAAATAAGACCCTGTCTTATATTTTTTTTTAAACCTTGAAATAAGAGCTTGGCCTTATTTTCGAGCTCTTATTATTTTGGGGTGCGTGGAGTGAGATAGGGCTCCTCTTGCCATCTTACCAGATTTCCAGCTCTGTCTCCCTAACCCTAACCATAGGAAATGCCGGAGACCGGCTGCGCGTGCATTTAAATATTTTTGGGGAGGGCTTATTTTCAGAGGGGGCTTATTTTAGCGCATGTGCTCAAAAGCCTGATTGGGCTTATTATCCGGGGAGGTCTTATATTCAGGGAAGCAGGGTAATTTCCTAGCACATATCATGGGCTAAAGCTAGTTTGTTCTAGTGGTTAAGGCACCAGGCTAGAAGCTGGGAGGCTGGGAGTTGTAGTCCCGCCTTAGGCATGAAAGCTGACTGGGTGGCTTTGGGCCAGTCACTTCCTCTC